ATTAGGATCCAATATGTGAATTTTGGAGGAAACATTCAGTCTGTAGTACACATGTAACATGAAAGTTTAATCATTTTTGAGGCGTAGGTCTTCGACATTTAGTACATTCATTTTGTTGTACAACTGTCACCACCATCCGCCTCCAGAACTTGTATCTTCTCCAACTAAAGCTGTGCTCACCCCACACCGACTCTCCATGCTTCCCTCCACTCCACTCGCCCCTCTACCTCCTGGCTCCATGAGTTTGGCTACTTTAGCGACCTCATAATAAGTAGAATGATACAATATTTGTCCTTTTGTAACTGACCTATTTCACGTTTCGTCCATGACGCAGTACGTGTCAGGACTTCCTTTTCAAGGCCGAGTGATATTCTATTGTAAGTCTAGGCCACATTTTGTTTATTCATTTCTTGTCAATAGATACTTGGCTCATTTCCCCCATCGGCCATTGTGAATAATGCTGCTATGAACACACACATACAAATACTTGTTCAAGTCCCTGCTTTCATTTCTTTGGCTGTAAACCCACAAGTGGAATCTCTGGATCACAAGGTAATTCGATGTTTAATTTGTTGGGGCGTCACCACACCATTTTCGGCAGGGGCTTTATATTCCCACCAGCAGTGCACAGGGCTTCCGGGTCTTCCACATCCTTCACAACACTTGTTATTCTTTTTTTAAAGATTTTATATATTTATTTTTAGAGAACAGGGGAGGGAGGGAGGAAAGGGAGGGAAACATGGATGTGGGAGGGATAACATTAGTCGGTTGCTTCTCACACACCCCAACCTGGGGAACCTGGCCCGCAACCCGGGCATGTGCCCTGACTGGCAATCGAACCGGCCACCTTTTGGTTCGCAGGCTGGCACTCAATCCACTGAGCCACTCCAGCCAGAGCTATTTATTTTAGTTAATAGACATCCTAATGGGTATGAAGCGGTATCTCAGTGTGGTTTTGAATTGCAATACCACAGCATGCCTTCTTAAGGTCAGGATATTCCAAGTTCTTTTTTTACAGGGAAGACTGTCCACCTGAAAAAAGCCCGGGTGTGAAGCTGGCTCCTATACCACCTTTAATCCTACCTCCTTCTTTCAGGAGCTGAGCAGAGGCTCAGGCATCCCACCCAATCCCCGTGCTTCTCCCTCAGATCCTGTGGGATAATCAGGAAGCCTGAGTCTTGAAAACCTAAGGGAGAGCAGGAGAGAGCAGTCTGCCCTGTGCCTGGAGGGGGCCTCAGGCAGAAGAGGGAGATTGCATCAGAAACTATATCCTAGCCCTGGCCAGGCAGCTCGGTTGGTTACAGCAATGTCCCAGTACACCAAGGTTGCTGGTTCAATTCCCAGTCAAGGCACATACAAGAAATCAACCAATTAATGTATAATAAATGGAACAAAAAAAAATGACGTTTCTATTCTTTTCTCCCTCTTTCTTTCTAAAATCAATAAAATAAAAAACAGAAGAGTAAACTGAGGCTCAGACTGGGGAGCTGACTTGCCCAGTCACATAGTGCATGGGAAGGCAGAGAACGCCAGAATAGTGATCACTGCACGGCTTCTTCCTGGCTGTCTTTCCGGGCCCCCTCCCTGGTGACCTGGCACACATCTTGCTCCAGCGCAGATGTTCTTGGAGTGCCACGTTCCTCTGGTTTCGGTCTGTTGACCCTGTCACTTCTCACGACAACCATGCCCTGCAGGTGTCTCTGCCTCACAGTCTGGGTAGTACAGGTAGCAGAGCCCAGACAAAAGCAGCAGCCACATTCCCCATGTGCAGACTCTGCCAGGAGGAAATGAGGCCTGTCTGGCATGACTGGCTCAGCCAGACAAACCTCATTTCCTTTCTGATGGGGTAAGATGTTCCAGTTCTAAGAAGAAATTGGCCCCAAGGAATGTCTGAACTCACACCTCCTGGAAGAAACAAGAGAATGGTCATCTGGGAGTGTGGTGGAAACTTGGCTATCTTCTCATTTCCTTGACCTCTCCTCTACTCTCCCCAGGTTGTACTCGCCTATCTTCTTGGGCACCCACCTACGTGGGCACCTCCTCTGCCTCCAAAGGACATTTGTGGGTCACTTGCCATCCAGGTCACATTCTCACATGGAAAAGAGCTACTATATGGGGAAGAGAGTGATCTGGTGCCCACCAAAGCCACACTCATGACTACTGGGCTCTGCCGGCTCACACTTGGGCTGGGTCCTGTGTGAAGTGAGAGTCTTGAGCCAGAGCACTTTCCAAGGAAATTGCCAACCCCAGGAACCTGTCCTTGACCCTCTTCCTCATACCTCCTTCCCTTCCTGGCCCCTTAGAGCCCACAGGGTGGGGGGTAGGGGTTCAAGACCCCTTCCTCCTCAAGGCAGTCACATCCAAACACCTTGGCTTAGGTGAGGTGGGGAAGGGGTGGGGAAATACCACTGGTAAGGTCCTGGGTGTCTCCAAAACAGGAATGGTCATTTACCCTGAGGTTAACCTGCCCAACTGCCACACAGTTAAACCCCAGACATGTGCCCTAGAAGAGAAAATAAAGATCTCCACTACATCCAGCGTGTGTGTTCGTAATGTGTGCAGAGCTGTCTGTACGAACATGTCAGCAGGTGCGTCCCCATGCATTAAAAAAAACAAACATTTGTAACATATATAATACTTATTGTGAGCCAGGCATGGTCTAAGTGCTTTTTAAGTATTAACTCACCTGTTCTTTGTAACATTACAAAATTGCCACTGCTATCCCTATTGCACAGATGAACAAACTGAGGCACAGAAAGGCTAAGTCATCTGCTCAAGGTCATAGAACTAGCAACAAGCAGAGGCAAGATTTGAACCTCACATTCTAGGCTCTCACAGGCACATGTCAGGTATATTATGCATGTTTGTGTATATCCATCTGTGTGAACATATACATCTGTGGGGAGAAAAGGGTGTGCCGCTGACAGAAAACTGTACTTGAATAATTAAAAATAAGAAGGGTGTGCCACTTAACCCAGACCTTACAGCTTGCAAAGCCCTATGAGACAGCACTTTGTCTGAAGGACCAGAGTCTCCTGTTAGAAGGTTGGATCTGAGCCCCAGGCCACTTCTGTTCAGGACTGGAGACACAAGGGGTCCTTCTGGCAGTCACAGGGATGGGCAGAGACAGCCTGATGGCCTGCGAAGGGGGGCTCCAAGGGGCTGCCCTTCCTGCTCCTCTTTCCCAACTGGTCCCATTTTTACAGCTCCATCCTAGCAGGGCTGGGATGGAGCATAACCACAGGGTTATCTCAGCCTGGACAGCAGGGCTACCACTCCGGCACACTGGTTTCCTCTGGCCCATTTCTTCCAGATGCCAATTCAACCCAAGCAGCACGTTAGAGGCTGCTGCTGGGTAGTTAACTGTGTCACATCCTTGGGTCACAGCTAGGACCTTCTAGTTAAATTTTGTGGGGCTGACAAAAAACCTTATTTTGGGTAATAGTGACTGACACCGTGAATATGTTGTATAAGTGTCTCTGACAACTATCTCAGAACTATTCTGGCATTTGTTGAAAATAGCAAAAATGTGGCCAGAAAAATGCTGGGAAAATTTCTATTTTGAAGTGGAGCTGGCTACTATGTAGTGAGCATCTGTGAAGTGTCAGTCACTGCTTATTTTTTAAAAGATATTTATTTTCAAATATTTTATTTATTTCTAGAGAGCGGGGAAGGGAGGGAGAAAGAAAGGAAGAAAAACACTGATGTGTGAGAGAAACATTGATCAGTTGCCTCTTGCACGTCCTGGCCTGCAACCCAGTCACGTGCCCTGACTGGGAATTGAACTGGCAACCTTTTTGGTTTACAGGCCAATGCTCAACCCACTGAGCCACACCAGCCAGGGCTAGTCATTGAGATATTTCACCTCTTGTAAGCCTCAAAAGTCTCTATGAAAATGAGGCTCAGATAGGGTAATGGTTGTGTTAAACAAAAATCTTTAATTTCCATAACAAGTCTTTTTTATTTTTTGCTATTTATTTTTTACATTATTTTTCATTATATTTTTTCCATTGTTATTTATCCCCTATACCCTCTTCTACCTCCACCCGCCCTCTTGAAGACTTTTTTTAATTAGGGTTTTTTTTTTTAAGGTTTTACTTATTTTTAGAGAGAGGGTTAGGGAGAAAGAGAGGGAGTTAAATATCATTGTGTAGCTGCCTCTCCAGAACTCCCTACTGGGGACCTGGCCTGCAACCCAGGCATGTGCCCTGACTGGGAGCCACTGCGAACCAGTGACCCTTTGGTTTGCAGGCTGGCACTCAATCCACTGAGCCACACCAGCAGGGCTAAATAAGGTTTTATTGAGCCAGAAATGCTAGCCACAAGACCGGTCTTGGGGCATGGAGTCTGAACCACCAGCAGGATGGCCAAGTAGAAAAGACAGCATGTCCGTCAACCCAGACTTCTGCAAGCATTTTTATACATCAAACAGGGAGGAGGAGGAAGAAAGAGGCAGTGTGAAAGGGGTGGGAGAAGGTAAAGCAGGGCAAGCTCTGGGACAGCAGAGGCCACATAAAGAAGTGTCTGCTCCAGTGGAATGGCTGTGGGCAGCAGTCCAGAAAGCCCACGTGCACACAAGTGGGGGCTCCTGTAGTTCGATGATGCCTGGCTAAAGTAACCTGTGGACATCACCACCTGGAAATCAATCCAAGATTCCAACAGGCAAAACAGGAATGTGAGAAGTCCTTTGTTAGTTGGCCTGCGGCCCATTAACCGACTTTCACTTCCAGGCTGCTGTTACTTCATTTAGAACATCTCAGAATTTTTTTCTTATCAGCGATTCCAGGGAGGTGTGTGTACTCCAGCTGTGATTCCTGGGTGGTGTGTGTGGATGCCAACACCTTCTGCCACCCAGCGCCCCAGCCATGACACCCTGAACCAGAGAGGCATGAAAGACAGACCTCTGCTTCCCTCAGACCCTCCAGCCGGCAGCCCCAGTCACTGCCCACCAGCTCTGGGAGAGCCCAAACCCTTTAAATCAGAAGAGAAACCACCTGCAGTTACAAAGATAGGGACATTTATTCATGTTATATTACTGGATTTTAAAAGCAAAAATACAGTTCTGTTTTGAACACCAAATTCAGGACCCCCCCGCAACATTACAATGGTAAATACATACATTTATTTGCACACACAGGAAATCATGACACAGCACAACGGGTCTCCAGGACAGGAAAGCTGCTGTCCCGGCTGTGGGGTCGCCCCATGGCCAGCCCTGAGGTCAGCAGAGATCCTGCCCAGGCTGAGAGCGGCACTGGCATTTTCTTTACCCTCCTGGGCCACCTCTGCCCTCTGATTGTTTTCCCAGAAACCACTTTCCAGGGTCACCAGCAACGAGAACAGAAATAAAGGCACAGTGTGTGACAACTGTATGATGACGACTTCCAGGTAAAGGAAATGCTCCCTGAACCCTCTGTCCTGAACTCCCCAGGGAGGAAACAGGACCAAGAGCATCTCATGAACCAGGCAAGCACCCAGGCCTGGCCTGGGGCCCGGGTGGCCCCCATGAGAGCACTCGGGGTCGGCGGATGAGGAACAGATGACGTAGGATTTCCCTTGGTACTGAGAATGAACCATGATGTACTTGAATATTCCAATGTAACATAAAGGAAAATGCAACAAAAAACATTTTTTTAAGTCTGAATTTTTTTTTTTAAAGAGTAAAGTAAGTAACACAGAAGTTACTCTCCAGGGTATCTGTCTCCTTTCTTATAAGGCACTTTGGAAAAGTTGGGATCTGGGGTCAGAAAGAGGGGCCTTCACTCCTTGCATTTCCCAAAACTCCTCTCAGTGCAGTTGCTCTGACTTTTATTAACATCGCTATTAAGGAACGGGAACTGACAGAAGGAATACTCTTTGCATAGCCCAAATGCTTTTGCAGTGGTGAATAAACTTTAATCAATACAAAGGCTTCTGGAAAAAACAAGTTAGCATCTCAGATGCTCGAAGCAGTAAAGGCACAGAGAAAACTGGGGCTGGGCACCAACTCAGCCTCCACACTGAGCGCTGGGTCCCAGATCCGTGGTGGGGGTCCCAGCTGCCATCAGCTGAAAAGTCAACCCTGGGATTAAAGGGCTGAGTCGCAGGTCCTTAGCCCAGACTGGACCCAGCAAGGGCACCCAGTGGTAGAAACTACCTCATGCATCTTTCCCCAAGCAGGCTAAGTCTCTCCCAGCAGAGGTGGATTTTGAGAAGACAGCTCCATGGGTCAGCCTCCTGGAGTGGGGGCGCCCACTAAAAACCTGAGAGGGAAAGGGAGGCTTTAGGCACCAGAGTGGCTGTGGGAGAGTGTGGGTGGATTCAGCTGACTTTCTGTTTCTAATTAAAAGGCACGCTCATGCTCGAGAATGAATAGTCTGTTTGACCCTGAGTGCCACAGGCAAGTTTTAGGGAACAGGCAAGAAGCAAAGGAACAAAAAGGGGGGAGGGTGGAAGGGGGAGGAAGAAGGAGAACCGGTCCTGCGAGGCGGGACAGGCAGTGTGGGGCAGAACCTCCAAGGGAGGCAGCCCCTAGACCCCAGGGGCCAGAACTGAGGTTCCCTCCACCTCCCCAGGCCAAGGGCCAGTAAACAGACCTGACCGCTGTCATTTACAACTCCACAGCCCAGGTCTTGGGGGTGAAGGGAGTGGTCAGTCCAAGGAGGTGGGGGAGGCTCCCGCCACCCTGCCCACCTGGCGAGGGTAAGGAGGTGGGGAGCTCTGCCTTCCTGCAGAGGTCCCGGGAGGCCGTGCCCTCTTCGAAGGGCCCAAAGGTGATTTTGATTTTCACAAAACCTGGCCCGCCAGCTAAATTGGAGGCTGGTTTGTGGCCACTACAGCATACAGAATTTGTCCCCCCTAAAAAGAATGTTCAGTCCCCTCCTCACTTTTAAAACACAATAAAAATATGTAGGTAATTCAAGTGTACATAGTATACTCAGAAAAATAAATTGCCATGACTTAGCATTAAACAGCTATGCGAATCTGGATCAACACAAAATCAAGCTAGATCATCAATCAGAACTGGATTTGGACTTTAAAGTACTACAAACTGCAAACTGCTATTTAAATTAAAAAGTTTTACATTCAGAAATCAGGCAATCTGCAGAAAGGCCACTGACTGTGAGAGCGCCCAAGGCTTTTGCTCTGATGGCTACAGGTGCCTTGGAATTCACACGTTACCAGGGCAAAAGGTCTGAGGCTCAAGTTTTAAAACTCTTTTGCTAAGAAAAGACACACGCACAGTGATTGTAATAGTTGTATAGCAGTAAAAAAAGGTGCGGGGTGGGGGGTGAAATGAAAATGGTTGAAACTGGTTTCCTGTTAAACTGTGACAATGAAAAAATATCATACCAATCCAATTTCAGCAGCACTGTCCAATTTTTCACAAAGTAATAACAGTATAAGATCTGAAGCAAAGTTCTTACCCACTTCACAACAAACGAGTGGTTTGTCACTGGGAACGAGTCCCGTGGTCACCAGATTCGGGGCTGTCTACAGCTCGGGTTCTTTGGGGTGTGACACTGTGAACATGCTGAGAAGTCCCAAAGGCTGACAGTTTCTACGCTTACAAACCCCTCGCAGAGTTGGGAAGTCACTCGCTGAGCCCAGTTGGGGGCAGAACATCCGGCTCCTTCCGGTCATCTGGAAAGGCATGTGAGTGAGCGAAAGGGGCCTATCACTCTGATTGGTACGAACGAGAGGGACCAGCCCAGCACACTGGCAGGGACACAGCAGAGGTCCCTGGCCATCTTTAGGTCTCTCATCAGTGTAGCAAAATGCTAGCTCGGTGTCCCGACGTCCACTGTGATTTTGGTATATAACGGGTGTCTTTCTATGTCCAACACCTGGTAGGTCAGTGTGTTCAAACCATCAGAGAGCATTGTCTCCTTCGTGTGCGCAATTCGGTCAAACCTACGAGGAAAAAGAACACGTGGTTGGTGTCAAAATAAAAATCTTAAGAAAAAAAGCATTAAATGTTTGTACTTTGTTGCCTTCCCCACCTTGGACTGAACTCTCCCTTTCCCTCCAGGCATGGAGCCCTACTCAGCACCTCATTTCTGCAGCCTGCCCTATCCCAAAAGGAGAAGAAAGAATATGAATGAACACAGAACACACCTCTGAGGATTGGGTTCATTTTTCTTGTCTCTTGAGTGGCGAATCATCCGACACTTCCCAACCACAGCATTTGGGCGAGATATAGACATACCCTTGTAAACTAACCTGCAAGGAGTAAAAGGGACAAAGTTATTACAGAGCTGCCATAAGGCTCGGGTCTGGTAGCCCCAGCTGCAAGACTGTTGCCCCATCTCCCATCCTGCCTGCTGTTCTCACTTGCGCACACCCGAGGCCAGCGTGGAAGTGGTTAAACTCACACTCCTTCCCCATGTCTTTTTACCACTGGCTCCCCAGTTTGTGATGGCGACTATTTGTGCCAGGCCCCGGGGGCATCTGCCCTGTAGAACTGACAGCGTGGATGCCTAGCATGCAGGGCTGTCGCGGCAGGATGGAGGTGAAGAGGGGAGGTGGGGTTGTGGGGCACAGACAGAGAAGCAACTAACTGCCTGAGCAACACTAAGCACAGTCAAGTCGGGAAGATGAATGGGCATCTGCCAGAACATCTGCAGCAGCCAGGAAAGCACAGGCAGAGGCAGGGAACGGGGCCAGCACAGTGCCCTTGGGGTGCAGCGCAAGCTTCTGGGGACTGGTGAGCAGGTCTGGGGTTGCAAGTGACTGGAGATGAGGCTAGAAAGATGGGCAGAGGCCAAATCATGGAGGCCTTCTCAAAGCTTTGGGCATCCCCGCCAACAGTGCCAGTGTCAGAAAGTTGTGACTATTACCTGTTAAAAATGTCGTCATCTTCACCTCCCCAGCCCCAGTAATTATTGGGAAATCCATTGATGGTGAGAAACTGTTGTTTACTTAGAGCAGACACACCTCCAAAAAACTGAATGTAAGGTAAACTGGGAAAGAAAACACACACACACACACAGAGGACCAGTCGTTAGTAAGTTTTGACTTGCTCCACATAAAGCTTGCTTAAAACATGAATACTCTAAAGTTATTTTTATTCTCTGGAACATTTTAATTGGAGATATATAAGGTTTTCTTTGTTTTGTTTTTAGAGCACACTCAGATTATCTTAGAGAAGACACAGATATAAAAAAAAAAAAATAGAACCTTCTTTGTAAGAATATTGTGTTGCTTCTGCGGTGATCTAGAAAATCAGTTACAAGAGCATGAGCCCAGTTCTTCTGCACCGGCCGGGAGTCTGCTTCCCATGTGTTCTGCTCCTGCACAGGACAGCCTCACCCGGGAGGTCCTGGAACCAGAGACTGTTTCCGAGTCTCCCTCTGCCCCCTCTGTCCTGCGCACGTCCCGTCTGCCAGTCTAGCTTTCCTTCTCCCAAAGCTCTGCCGGCTTGAACACTGACTGACTCCAATAGTCAAGAAAGCATTTCTGAAAACGTTCTCGAAAACATTTCTTAGAAATTTCTACCATATCCTGACTTAGCCATTATACAAAATGTATAATGGTGAATCTATTTGGACACTTTTTCAAGAAGCAGGGCATCTGGGCTCTCAATGGTCCGTCTAAACTGTTCTGTATTTCAGTGTTTCAATGGTTATGAATCATAGCCTCCTGACAGCTCCAGGGGAAGCACCATGGATAAGTGTTAAGAATCAGGACATGCCCAGCGGCCGTGCAAAGGCCTTGGGTGGGTCCTCTAAAGGCTGTGGTTCTGTCCCGACCTTGTGTGCAGTTCCAAACCAGACTCAGGCTCCTCCTGAAATCCGGAGAGACCGAAACCTATCACACAAATTAAGAAAACCCTAACTCAGATTTCATGAGAGAACTTAGCCAACCCATATAGGACACATTTAAAAAATACAATCACCATTTTCAAATATATTCAGCAATTCTGACTGCAAATGTCCACAGACAAAGACAGCCGGGGGCTTGCTTTAATGAATCCAAGGTAATCTATTTGTAATAAGGTATCATCACTGAGGTGCCAAGTCATCTACCTTTTGGCTTCCCTCATGGTACAGTCTGTACTTTAATGTGAGGGTATGAACCAGAGGTAGCCAGGCCAATAAAGTTTTTTGATAATAAGTGTTTTTACAGAAACATACTCTTAGTGACTTTTAGGGGAAGTACAAGCTAAGCTGACAAGATCCAGTTTTGCTGTCTCTGCTGTTTTCTCTTACCTCCTGCCCCACCCCCCCAAGCCTAAGTGGTTCTGGGGGAAACAGACCTGGTGCTGGGCTAAAGAATTTGGCCACTGCCACCATGCTTCAAGGGAGGGATTAAGAGGGGTCAGAGTATGAACCTATGCATCTAAAAACGAAGGTACACAAAGGGAGGGAGAAAGGGAGGGAGGGAGGGAGGGCAGAGTGACATTTACAGTTAAATCTTTCCTCTTTGAAGACAGCAAGATTAGGGCCAGAATACCTTTGATCTGGGGACTTCATAACAACCCTATATTTATACCAGTGAAAATGATTCTAATTTGTTTCCCAAACTGGGTGGGGAAGGAGAGAGAAGAAAGCAAGGAAACACAGCATCAGTCTGGAGCCATCCCAAACATTAAAAACTCTCCTTGTCTGGATGTGCAGAGGTTGTAGGCCTTTCTGGACTCCACTTTCCTCCCCAAATAATAATGGACTTCGGGCTTAAAAAGCATCCGTTTCTCAAGAGAAGGCAATCTTTTCCAGAGCAAAAAGACCCACTCTTGGGCTGGAGGAACATCACCCGGTGGTCATATCAGAGAGGAACGTGTTTTCTGGAAACTCTGCTGAGCAGCTCTTACCTGAATCCAAACTTATCCATTGCCACGGAGATGTGCCGTGGCTGTGAGAAACACCGGTAGATGTTGCGGTCGTCCATTGGAATGAGGTCCACGTCACTGAACACAAAGCAGTTGTAGTCATAGTCCTTCAAGGCCTCTCGAAAGCCAACGTTGAGAAGCTTAGCACGATTGAATGTGGAGTCTCCAGCCTAGCGCAGAAACAAAAGAAGTGATGGCAGAGACCATAAGGACTTTGAGCAGAACACAGGGCCTGGTGGCTTGCCCATGACATGTGATCATTAGTGCATTCGTGGGCCTCATTCTTTCTGCCCTCACTTACAAGCTGATACAAAGTGGTATGTCCTGAGTCAGGGTTCCCACCTCTCAGAGTGTTCATTGCCACAAAAGATTGCAAACAATGACATAAGCACACTAGCGAACTGGTTAAATAAGTCATGGTACATCCATAAAATGAAATAGAGCTATTTAAAAAAACATGGAAGCTCCAAATGGAAATGATCTTCAAAATAGTATTGTTGGGTGAAAAGGCATTTAAACATATGTCATTTATTTATATACTATATGTAGAGTAATTCCAGGAAAGATAAGCAGGAAACCAGCGCTTATGGGACGGTCTTTTCTCTTCTACCTTCTTTACATGGTTGATAACCACACTGTGTGCCTACCAGGTGTCTGTAACTAAACGAGGCACCAGAGAAACACAGCAACCCCACTAGATCTCTGCCCTCACGGTGCTCACAGTGTGTGGGGGGAAGCAGTGTGGTGCACGCCACCACAGAAACAGGGTGTACGACAGAGGACAAGACCTGCTTCAGAATGCCCACCACTGGGTCCCAAAGCATCAAGTCTGTTTATGCAAAGGAACTTCATATTTTATTTACTTACCTTGTTTATTTTCACACCCCCCCCCCACCCCGCACCACCACCACCAGAACGTATGCTCAATGAAGGCTGGAATTTTTTTAGTGTCTATTCACATAGCGCTTTGTACACTGCTTGGCTTATAGTAAGAGCTCAATAAATAACTGCTGCTGGCTGGATGACAGACGGATGGGTGGATGAATGGATGGATGAGTGAGTAGGCTGATGGATGGGTTTCAACACACGATGGCAGAGAGCAATCCGCTCTGGGAAGCTCCGATCAAAGGGCCCTTCGGAGTCACCAGCGTGGGTCTCTTACCAGCTCCCATGGCCCCAGGTCAGTGAAAACAATAACAGCATCAACACAGCCACCCTCACCCTTAGCACTTCACAAGCCCTTCCACACACGAGCTCTCATCCTGGCTGGACCCCTCCCAACTACATCACGAAGAGACTAAGGCCACACAAGTGACACAACTGGGACTGGAGCCCAGCACTCTGGGACCCTAACCCTGTGCCTTTCCCCCCGTATCTCCTGGGATAAACAAGATCAGGGCCCTCTGCTTTGGAGAAAAATATGTCCCACAAGGGTCTGCAGTGGCTACACGGTCTCAAAAAGTGGGATGCCCAGACCCCTCTCCAGGCGCCCGAGAGAGGACTTGGAAACTAGTACTCCACAGGCTACCTGTGTGAAAACAGGGCGGGCAGACAGCACCTCGGCTGCTCAGCTGCAAGCAGGTGGCTCAGGAAAACAAACCACCTGAGAAAAGGAAGTAGCAGGAAGTCAGACAAAGCACCCAAGAGAATACTAATGAATGAAGGAAACATCTTACTCAAGAGCTCCTTTCCTCAGCCCGTGACAAAGCTCTCTAACCACACACGGTGAAAAGGGAAAGCTGCGACCGACAAACGGTACACACAGCGTTCTTCCGCCGTCCCACCAGCTAAATCATTTAGAATTCTGCCTCCAGTTAATTCTGTGTAAGTCACGAGGCAAAAAGGAGCTCAAAGTTTAGAAATTGTATATGATAACTACAAAGTTGTTGTAATTATTATTACAACAATACATTGCCAATATTTATTGGGGGGGGGGATATGATATATATGCCAAGCAAAGGTAAGTGTTTATACGCATGCCACGCCATTTAATCATCTCAACAACCTGTAACCACCTTCGCCCCAACCCAGATCCACTTCTCTCCTCTCACACCTTCCTCCTTCTGTGATGCAGAGCGAGGCCTGCACCTGATGCTTTCTGTCTTGCTCTTCCAGCTACATGGAGACCCTAAGAGAGTTAGCTGAACATTTCCGAACACCATTCAACCCCATCAAACAGATTTCCAACAAAGTGAAAGAGCAGTGTCTCACAAAGCCTTTTCACACCTCCGGGGCAGACCCACAGGGTGGCGGCTCACTGCTCCCCTCCCTTGCTACACTCTCCAATACCAGGGGCGGCGGGGGCAGGGGGGCGGGCTCCTGGGGCCACGTCTAGATCACAGGATCTGGCCTCCTGGCATTACTGTTTGATCTAAGCAGATGCCTGAACAAAATTACACTAAGCACTTTTCCTCTCCCAGAAACTGGTAATTTGGAATCATAAACAGACACCTCTGGGCCCATGCTCCGAGAACAATGGTAGCCTGGAGGAGAAACCTAAGGAAAAGTCCTGGTTCTGCCCCTTAGCCCACATGTGAGACAACAGTTCCTTCAACTCAATAAGGCACTCCAGTGTCTGGTCCACACTTAAAAACTACACATAGCTTTTCCCATCCTCCTTCCCAGTCTGGCCTCACCTCTGTGGTCCTGGGAGAGGGGAAGAGCAGGGTATATTTTTGCAGGTGTTAGCCCTAGGAATACCAGATCAGCAGAAAGATGAGGAAAGTATGCATTTTCCTCTTTCTGCCCTGGGATTACAGAAACATCAATTCTAGGCTTCTTTGGGTGGAGTGCTGTAATAACATGGGTAAGTTTCTGGATGAGAAAGACAGGCCCTGGCAAATCACCAGCCCCCACCACTAAGAGCAGCTGCCCTTCCTGGAGGTAGGAAGACACCTCACCCTCATTCCTGCCCCTCCTCACTGGGCACATTTATTCGGTGCACTGGTTACTTCACTCAAGTAAACATTTATCAAGTATGTACTGCCTGGCCAATCCAAAATGTTGTGATGGACACATGCATTTTTATCCCAGGAGTGCCAGCTTCTTCACTTACTAGCTATTGGACTTTGGGCAAATCTGACCTCTAGGCCTCAGTTTCCTCATTTGGGCATGGGGATGACAACAGGTGGGCTGCATTAAATGAGACAATACGTTAGAGGCCTTCACACACATTAGAGGCCTCGGCAACAAATGGCAGATGCTGTCATTATTACAGCACAGGTTTCCCCACCCATCTTCAACAGGCAGACCTTTCAAAATGTCTCCCAGAGGTCCAACCTGGAGACAACTCCTTCTCTTCTCTTTGTGTGTGTCCTCCCGAGTCAACTTTAAGATTCCTCCCAAATCCTGCTTCTCTGCTGGAGGGGGCATTTCTTAAAAGGATTAAGTCTCAGGTGAGTTAGTCTGCAGCTCACATGAGTGTCTATGGCAGCGGAGGAAAGAGAGACCTTTAGAGACCCGTGAAATGCCTGGAAGTCCTGTTGGGTGAAGAGGAGCTGCTGCACTGGGAGGTGTCCCTCTGGAAGACAGAGCTTTTTGAAGTGCAGGCTTCTTTAAGTTGGTAGACTAGAGTTAGACTTAGCCCTTCCTTCTAGAGCAGCCAGCTCCTCTTAATGGAAAGGACAAGAGGAAAGAAGAAAGGCCCAAAACTATATCGCATTCCCACAGCTGGACAGGGCAGCTGTCCCACTGGCCACAGCTCACAGGGAAGCCTTTTATGACTGAGCACACAGTCCTGACAGTGGGTGTACGAGTCAGTCAAGCAGAACCAACAATAGCCAGTACAGAGAGACAAGGGGTCTGGGCTTGGTCAGGCATGCTGGCCTGGGGTACAGGGAGACCTGAGGTGGTGTGCCTGGCATAGGCCTAAAGGCCATGCTCCTCAGAAAAGAGAAGAAAGAAGCTACCTTCAGACACATGGTGGAGCAAACCTGGTGCCCTTCTGGGAGATCTGGGTGGCAGGGAGGAACGTCTTAAGAAGTATCAGAGAGCGCTCTGGGGCTATGAAAACTTTCCTAGAGCCTTCTCATTTACGCTAAATACAGGAAAGCACAAATAGTGTGTCTGGAAATGGAACCCTCCTGCACTGTGGGTGGGAATGTGAAAGGGGCAGCCGCCGTGGACAGCAGTCTGGTGTTCCCTCAAATAGGTAAAGAATTACCATGCAATCCAGCAATTACACTCGTTACAAAAGAAACAAAAACATGTGGCCACGCAAAACTTTTACACAGTGTTCATAACAGCATTAGTCACAATAGCTAAAAAGTGGAAACACCACAAATGTCCATCAACATGTGAATGAATAAGTGAAATGTGGTACATCTGTACAATGGAAAGGTATTCAGCAATAAAAAGGAATGAAGTACAGATACATGCTACAACATGGATGAACCTTAAAAACATTATGCCAAGTGAAAAATGTCGTAAAGAATCACATATTTATTATGATTACATTTATATGAAATGTCCAGAATAGGCAAATCCACAGACACAAAAAGATTAGTGGTTGCCTAGGGCTGTGGGGAATGGAGGGATTTGTAGCTAAGAGGTGCGAGGTATCTTTCTGACATAGTGAAAATGTTCTAAACTTGATTTTATGGTGATGGATGAACAACTCTAAATATATTTTAAATGGGTGTACTGTATGGTATGTGATTATATCTCAATAAAGTGGTTACAAAGAGCAAGCCAGACCCAGAGACAGAAAAGGACCAGAGGGTCCTGTTTCTCTTCTTTCATATATTCATTCTTGCCATTCTTTGAATATCTACTTCATGTTTAGCACTAGGGATTCAGAAAAGGAAAAGAAACAGGACTGGCTTTTGAGGTATTTCAAGTTAAACAGGCAATTGTAATGGGCGATGAATGATGAGCACTTGTGGTGTACAGCTACTGGGGAGGGGAGAAGAGGGAAGAGGAACTACAAAGGCAGGCACAGATGGGGAGGTGGAGGTGGAGACACTAACCTCGTCCTAGGGGATCAGAGAAGGCTTCAAAGAAGTTAGCCAGGTTTAGTGGGGAGACCTGAAAAGAGCAGTCCTAGGAGAGCAACATTTGTAAAGGCAGTGAGGAAAACAGAACACTCAAGGAACTACAAGAAATACACAATGTGGAGGCCAGAATAAGAATTGAAGGTGGAGATGGACCAAATCATGAGACCGAGGGGGAA